CCCGGTCAGTATAATTGTGAGAATTTCTATTATTGTTTTTCTGTCGAATTTCATAACTTGAATTGAAATGCAGGCATCATAATGCAATATGTTAAAAATTACGGGCTCGTCCGGGAGTTGAACCCAGGACCTCTCGCACCCTAAGCGAGAATCATGCCCCTAGACCAACGAGCCAGACATACGCTCCATAAACGTATGGATTGTCGGAAAATAATTTATAAATATCTCTTTTCTAAAAGTGTGCAAAGGTTGCCTTATTGATGCAAGTCGAATCTTCAGCAGCCATTTTTCTAAGTTTGGTAAAATTATGGGCTCGTCCGGGATTTGAACCCGAGACCTCTCGCACCCAAAGCGAGAATCATACCCCTAGACCAACGAGCCGATTCTGACTAATGAGTTAGGAGAAAAATAAAAAAAATAAGTTTTATTCAGTTTTGCGACTCAATTGACAAGTTTTAAAATAGTATTTAGCAAATCATTATACAATTCCATTTCAGGGTAATGATTCAGTAAACGAAATCAAAAACTCATCTTTAAACTTTCGAGAAAACTAACAGCCAAAGCGAGTGACCATATTTGTGATTTACTGCCTTGCACTGCAGGGAATTCCCCATTTCATTGCCATTATTGTCTACTTGTTGGCACATTCCGATGTGGGCGCAAAATCCCCGGTCAGTATAATTGTGAGAATTTCTATTTTTGTTTTTCTGTCGAATTTCATAACTTGAATTGAAATGCAGGCATCATAATGCAGTATGTTAAAAATTATGGGCTCGTCCGGGATTTGAACCCGAGACCTCTCGCACCCAAAGCGAGAATCATGCCCCTAGACCAACAAGCCAGACATACATTCAACAAACGTATGGATTGTCGGAAAATAATTTATAAATATCTCTTTTCTAAAAGTGTTCAAAGGTTGCCTTATTGATGCAAGTCGAATCTTCAGCAGCCATTTTTCTAAATTTGGTAAAATTAGGGGCTCGTCCGGGATTTGAAACCGAGACCTCTCGCACCCAAAGCGAGAATCATACCCCTAGAACAACGAGCCGATTCTGACTAATGAGTTAGAGAGAAATTTAAAAAAAATCAGTTTTATTCAGTTTTGCGACTCAATTGACAAGTTTTAAAATAGTATTTAGCAAATCTTCATACAATTCCATTTCAGGGTAATGATTCAGTAAACGAAATCAAAAACTCATCTTTAAACTTTCGAGTAAACTAACAGACAAAGCGAGTGACCATATTTGTGATTTACTGCCTTGCACTGCAGGGAATTCTCCATTTCATTGCCATGATTGTCTACTTGTTGGCACATTCCGATGTGGTCGCAAAATCCCCGGTCAGTATAATTGTGAGAATTTCTATTTTGGTTTTTCTGTCGAATTTCATAACTTGAATTGAAATGCAGGCATCATAATGGAATATGTTAAAAAATCGTCCGTGAGTTGAACCCGGGACCTCTCGCACCCTAAGCGAGAATCATGCCCCTAGACCAACGAGCCAGACATACATTCAACAAACGTATGGATTGTCGGAAAATAATTTATAAATATCTCTTTTCTGAAAGTGTGCAAAGGTTGCCTTATTGATGCAAGTCGAATCTTCAGCAGCCATTTTTCTAAGTTTGGTAAAATTATGGGCTCGTCCGGTAATTGAACCCGAGACCTCTCGCACCCAAAGCGAGAATCATACCCCTAGACCAACGAGCCGATTCTGACTGATGAGTTAGGAGAGAAATTAAAAAAAATCAGTTTTATTCAGTTTTGCGACTCAATTGACAAGTTTTAAAATAGAATTTAGCAAATTTCTATACAATTCCATTTCAGGGTAATGATTCTGTAAACGAAATTAAAAACTCATCTTTAAACTTTCGAGAAAACTAACAGCCAAAGCGAGTGACCATATTTGTGATTTACTGCCTTGCACTGCAGGGAATTCTCCATTTCATTGCCATTATTGTCTGCTTGTTGGCACATTCCGATGTGGTCGCAAAATCACCGGTCAGTATAATTGTGAAAATTTCTTTTATTGTTTTTCTGTCGAATTTCATAACTTGAATTGAAATGCAGGCATCATAATGCAATATGTTAAAAATTGTGGGCTCGTCCGGGAGTTGAACCCGGGACCTCTTGCACCCTAAGCGAGAATCATGCCCCTAGACCAACGAGCCAGACATACATTCAAAAAACGTATGGATTGTCGGAAAATAATTTATAAATATCTCTTTTCTAAAAGTGTTCAAAGGTTGCCTTATTGATGCAAGTCGAATCGTCAGCAGCCATTTTTCTAAATTTGGTAAAATCATGGGCTCGTCCAGGATTTGAACCCTAGACCTCTCGCACCCAAAGCGAGAATCATACCCCTAGACCAACGAGCCGATTCTGACTAATGAGTTAGGAGAAAAATAAAAAAAATAAGTTTTATTCAGTTTTGCGACTCAATTGACAAGTTTTAAAATAGTATTTAGCAAATCATTATACAATTCCATTTCAGGGTAATGATTCAGTAAACGAAATCAAAAACTCATCTTTAAACTTTCGAGAAAACTAACAGCCAAAGCGAGTGACCATATTTGTGATTTACTGCCTTGCACTGCAGGGAATTCCCCATTTCATTGCCATTATTGTCTACTTGTTGGCACATTCCGATGTGGGCGCAAAATCCCCGGTCAGTATAATTGTGAGAATTTCTATTTTTGTTTTTCTGTCGAATTTCATAACTTGAATTGAAATGCAGGCATCATAATGCAGTATGTTAAAAATTATGGGCTCGTCCGGGATTTGAACCCGAGACCTCTCGCACCCAAAGCGAGAATCATGCCCCTAGACCAACAAGCCAGACATACATTCAACAAACGTATGGATTGTCGGAAAATAATTTATAAATATCTCTTTTCTAAAAGAGTTCAAAGGTTGCCTTATTGATGCAAGTCGAATCTTCAGCAGCCATTTTTCTAAATTTGGTAAAATTAGGGGCTCGTCCGGGATTTGAACCCGAGACCTCTCGCACCCAAAGCGAGAATCATACCCCTAGACCAACGAGCCGATTCTGACTAATGAGTTAGGAGAGAAATTTTAAAAAATCAGTTTTATTAGTTTTGCGACCCAATTGACAAGTTTTAAAATAGTATTTAGCAAATCATTAATACAATTTCCATTTCAGGGGTAATGATTCAGTAAACGAAAATCAAAAACTTCATCTTTAAACTTTTCGAAGTAAAACTAAACAACCCAAAGCGAAGGTGACCCATATTTTGTGGAATTTACTGCCTTGCACCTGGCAGGGGAAATTCTCCATTTTCATTTGCCATGATTGTGTCTACTTGGTTGGGCACATTCCGATGTGGGTCGCAAAATCCCCGGGTCAGTATAATTGTGAGAATTTCTATATTGTTTTCTGTCGAATTTCATAACTTGAATTGAAATGCAGGCATCATAATGCAATATGTTAAAAAATATGGGCTCGTCCGGGAGTTGAACCCGGGACCTCTCGCACCCTAAGCGAGAATCATGCCCCTAGACCAACAAGCCAGACATACATTCAACAAACGTATGGATTGTCGGAAAATAATTTATAAATATCTCTTTTCTAAAAGTGTTCAAATGTTGCCTTATTGATGCAAGTCGAATCTTCAGCAGCCATTTTTCTAAATTTGGTAAAATTAGGGGCTCGTCCGGGGTTTGAACCCGAGACCTCTCGCACCCAAAGCGAGAATCATACCCCTAGACCAACGAGCCGATTCTGACTAATGAGTTAGGAGAGAAATTTTAAAAAATCAGTTTTATTAGTTTTGCGACTCAATTGACAAGTTTTAAAATAGTATTTAGCAAATCATTATACAATTCCATTTCAGGGTAATGATTCAGTAAACGAAATCAAAAACTCATCTTTAAACTTTCGAGTAAACTAACAACCAAAGCGAGTGACCATATTTGTGATTTACTGCCTTGCACTGCAGGGAATTCTCCATTTCATTGCCATGATTGTCTACTTGTTGGCACATTCCGATGTGGTCGCAAAATCCCCGGTCAGTATAATTGTGAGAATTTCTATTTTTGTTTTTCTGTCGAATTTCATAACTTGAATTGAAATGCAGGCATCATAATGCAGTATGTTAAAAAATATGGGCTCGTCCGGGAGTTGAACCCGGGACCTCTCGCACCCTAAGCGAGAATCATGCCCCTAGACCTACAAGCCAGACATACATTCAACAAGCGTATGGAAAGTCGGAAAATAATTTATAAATATCTCTTTTCTAAAAGAGTTCAAAGGTTGCCTTATTGATGCAAGTCGAATCTTCAGCAGCCATTTTTCTAAATTTGGTAAAATTAGGGGCTCGTCCGGGATTTGAAACCGAGACCTCTCGCACCCAAAGCGAGAATCATACCCCTAGACCAACGAGCCGATTCTGACTAATGAGTTAGGAGAGAAATTTTAAAAAATCAGTTTTATTCAGTTTTGCGACTCAATTGACAAGTTTTAAAATAGTATTTAGCAAATCATTATACAATTCCATTTCAGGGTATTGATTCAGTAAACGAAATCAAAAACTCATCTTTAAACTTTCGAGTAAACTAACAGACAAAGCGAATGACCATATTTGTGATTTATTGCCTTGCACTGCAGGGAATTCTCCATTTCATTGCCATGATTGTCTACTTGTTGGCACATTCCTATGTGGTCGCAAAATCCCCGGTCATTATAATTGCGAGAATTGTTATTATTGTTTTTCTGTCGAATTTCATAACTTGAATTGAAATGCAGGCATCATAATGCAATATGTTAAAAAATATGGGCTCGTCCGGGAGTTGAACCCGGGACCTCTCGCACCCTAAGCGAGAATCATGCCCCTAGACCAACGAGCCAGACATACATTCAACAAACGTATGGAATGTCGGAAAATAATTTTTAAATATCTCATTTCTAAAAGTGTTCAAATGTTGCCTTATTGATGCAAGTCGAATCTTCAGCAGCCATTTTTCTATGTTTGGTTAAATTATGGGCTCGTCCGGGATTTGAACCCGAGACCTCTCGAACACAAAGCGAGAATCATGCCGCTGGACCAACGAGCCGATTCTGACTAATGAGTTAGGAGAGAAATTTAAAAAAAATCAGTTTTATTCAGTTTTGCGACTCAATTGACAAGTTTTAAAATAGTATTTAGCAAATCATTATACAATTCCATTTCAGGGTATTGATTCAGTAAACGAAATCAAAAACTCATCTTTAAACTTTCGAGTAAACTAAAAGACAAAGCGAGTGACCATATTTGTGATTTACTGCCTTGCACTGCCGTGTATTCTCCCTTTCATTGCCATGATTGTCTACTTGTTGGCACATTCCGATGTGGTCGCAAAATCCCCGGTCATTATAATTGCGAGAATTTTTGTTACTGATTTTCTGTCGAATTTCATAACTTGAATTGAAATGCAGGCATCATAATGCAATATGATAAAAATAATGAGCTCGTCCGGGAGTTGAACCTGGGACCTCTCGCACCCTAAGCGAGAATCATGCCCCTAGACCAACGAGCCAGACATACATTCAACAAACGTATGGAATGTCGGAAAATAATTTTTAAATATCTCATTTCTGAAAGTGTTCAAAGGTTGCCTTATTGATGCAAGTGGAATCTTCAGCAGTCATTTTTCTATGTTCGGTTAAATTACGGGCTCGTCCGGGATTTGAACCCGAGACCTCTCGCACCCAAAGTGAGAATCACACCGCCAGACCAACGAGCCGATTCTGACTAATGAATTAGGAGTGAAATTTTAAAAAAATCAGTTTTATTCAGTTTTGCGACTCAATTGACAAGTTTTAAAATAGTATTAAGCAAATCTTTATACAATTCCATTTCAGTGTAATGATTCAGTAAACGAAATCAAAAACTCATCTTTAAACTTTCGAGTAAACTAACAGACAAAGCGAGTGACCATATTTGTGATTTACTGCCTTGCACTGCAGGGAATTCTCCATTTCATTGCCATGATTGTCTACTTGTTGGCACATTCCGATGTGGTCGCAAAATCCCCGGTCATTATAATTGCGAGAATTGTTATTACTGATTTTCTGTCGAATTTCATAACTTGAATTGAAATGCAGGCATCATAATGCAATATGTTAAAAAATATGGGCTCGACGGGGAGTTGAACCCGGGACCTCTCGCACCCTAAGCGAAAATCATGCCCCTAGACCATCGAGCCAGACATACGCTCCACAAACGTATGGATTGTCGGAAAATAATTTATAAATATCTCTTTTCTAAAAGTGTGCAAAGGTTGCCTTATTGATGCAAGTCGAATCTTCAGCAGCCATTTTTCTAAGTTTGGTAAAATTATGGGCTCGTCCGGGATTTGAACCCGAGGCCTCTCGCACCCAAAGCGAGAATCATACCCTTATACCAACGAGCCGATTCTGACTAAAGAGTTAGGAGAGAAATTAAAAAAAATCAGTTTTATTCAGTTTTGCGACTCAATTGACAAGTTTTAAAATAGTATTTAGCAAATCTCTATACAATTCCATTTCAGGGTAATGATTCAGGAAACGAAATTAAAAACTCATCTTTAAACTTTCGAGAAAACTAACAGTCAAAGCGAGTGACCATATTTGTGATTTACTGCCTTGCACTGCAGGGAATTCTCCATTTCATTGCCATTATTGTCTACTTGTTGGCACATTCCGATGTGGTCGCAAAATCCCCGGTCAGTATAATTGTGAGAATTTCTATTATTGTTTTTTCTGTCGAATTTCATAACTTGAATTGAAATGCAGGCATCATAATGCAATATGTTAAAAATTATGGGCTCTAGACCAACAAGCCAGACATACATTCAACAAACGTATGGATTGTCGGAAAATAATTTATAAATATCTCTTTTCTAAAAGTGTTCAAAGGTTGCCTTATTGATGCAAGTCGAATCTTCAGCAGCCATTTTTCTAAATTTGGTAAAATTATGGGCTCGTCCGGGAATTGAACCCGAGACCTCTCGCACCCAAAGCGAGAATCATACTCCTAGACCAACGAGCCGATTCTGACTAATGAGTTAGGAGAGAAATTTAAAAAAATCAGTTTTATTCAGTTTTGCGACCCAATTGACTAGTTTTAAAATAGTATTTAGCAAATCTTTATACAATTCCATTTCAGGGTAATGATTCAGTAAACGAAATCAAAAACTGATCTTTAAACTTTCGAGTGAACTAACAGACAAAGCGAGTGACCATATTTGTGATTTACTGCCTTCCACTGCAGGGAATTCTCCATTTCATTGCCATGATTGTCTATTTGTTGGCACATTCCGATGTGGTCGCAAAATCCCCGGTCTGTGTAATTGTGAGAATTTCTATTTTTGTTTTTCTGTCGAATTTCATAACTTGAATTGAAATGCAGGCATCATAATGCAATATGTTAAAAAATATGGGCTCGACGGGGAGTTGAACCCGGGACCTCTCGCACCCTAAGCGAAAATCATGCCCCTAGACCAACTAGCCAGACATACATTCAACAAACGTATGGATTGTCGGAAAATAATGTATAAATATCTCTTTTCTAAAAGTGTGCAAAGTTTGCCTTATTGGTGCAAGTCGAATCTTCAGCAGCCATGTTTCTATGTTCGGTTAAATTATGGGCTCGTCCGGGATTTGAACCCGAGACCTCTCGCACCCAAAGCGAGAATCATACCCCTAGACCAACGAGCCTATTCTGACTAATGAGTTAGGAGAGAAATTTTAAAAAATCAGTTTTCTTCAGTTTTACGACTCAATTGACAAGTTTTAAAATAGTATTTAGCAAATCATTATACAATTCCTTTTCAGGGTAATGATTCATTAAACGAAATCAAAAACTCATCTTTAAACTTTCGAGAAAACTAACAGCCAAAGCGAGTGACCATATTTGTGATTTACTGCCTTGCACTGCAGGGTATTCTCCCTTTCATTGCCATGATTGTCTACTTGTTGGCACATTCCGATGTGGTCGCAAAATCCCCGGTCATTATAATTGCGAGAATTTTTATTACTGATTTTCTGTCGAATTTCATAACTTGAATTGAAATGCAGGCATCATAATGCAATATGTTAAAAAATATGGGCTCGTCCGGGAGTTGAACCCGGGACCTCTCGCACCCTAAGCGAGAATCATGCCCCTAGACCAACGAGCCAGACATACATTCAACAAACGTATGTAATGTCGGAAAATAATTTTTAAATATCTCATTTCTAAAAGTGTTCAAAGGTTGCCTTATTGCTGCAAGTCGAATCCTCAGCATCCATTTTTCTATGTTTGGTTAAATTATGGGCTCGTCCGGGATTTGAACCCGAGACCTCTCGCACCCAAAGCGAGAATCATACTCCTAGACCAACGAGCCAGACATACATTCAACAAACGTATGGATTGTCAGAAAATAATTTATAAATATCTCTTTTCTAAAAGTGTTCAAAGGTTGCCTTATTGATGCAAGTGGAATCTTCAGCAGTCATTTTTCTATGTTCGGTTAAATTACGGGCTCGTCCGGGATTTGAACCCGAGACCTCTCGCACCCAAAGTGAGAATCACACCGCCAGACCAACGAGCCGATTCTGACTAATGAATTAGGAGTGAAATTTAAAAAAAATCAGTTTTATTCAGTTTTGCGACTCAATTGACAAGTTTTAAAATAGTATTAAGCAAATCTTTATACAATTCCATTTCAGTGTAATGATTCAGTAAACGAAATCAAAAACTCATCTTTAAACTTTCGAGTAAACTAACAGACAAAGCGAGTGACCATATTTGTGATTTACTGCCTTGCACTGCAGGGAATTCTCCATTTCATTGCCATGATTGTCTACTTGTTGGCACATTCCGATGTGGTCGCAAAATCCCCGGTCATTATAATTGCGAGAATTGTTATTACTGATTTTCTGTCGAATTTCATAACTTGAATTGAAATGCAGGCATCATAATGCAATATGATAAAAATTATGGGCTCGTCCGGGAGTTGAACCCGGGACCTCTCGCACCCTAAGCGAAAATCATGCCCCTAGACCATCGAGCCAGACATACGCTCCACAAACGTATGGATTGTCGGAAAATAATTTATAAATATCTCTTTTCTAAAAGTGTGCAAAGGTTGCCTTATTGATGCAAGTCGAATCTTCAGCAGCCATTTTTCTAAGTTTGGTAAAATTATGGGCTCGTCCGGGATTTGAACCCGAGGCCTCTCGCACCCAAAGCGAGAATCATACCCTTATACCAACGAGCCGATTCTGACTAAAGAGTTAGGAGAGAAATTAAAAAAAATCAGTTTTATTCAGTTTTGCGACTCAATTGACAAGTTTTAAAACAGTATTTAGCAAATCTTTATACAATTCCATTTCAGGGTAATGATTCAGTAAACGAAATCAAAAACTCATCTTTAAACTTTCGAGAAAACTAACAGCCAAAGCGAGTGACCATATTTGTGATTTACTGCCTTGCACTGCAGGGAATTCTCCATTTCATTGCCATGATTGTCTACTTGTTGGCACATTCCGATGTGCTCGCAAAATCCCCGGTCAGTATAATTGTGAGAATTTCTATTATTGTTTTTCTGTCGAATTTCATAACTTGAATTGTAATGCAGGCATCATAATGCAATATGTTAAAAAATATGGGCTCGTCCGGGAGTTGAACGCGGGACCTCTCGCATCCTAAGCGAGAATCATACCCTTAGACCAACGAGCCAGACATACATTCAACAAACGTATGTATAGGTCGGAAAATAATTTATAAATATCTCTTTTCTAAAAATGTTCAAAGGTTGCCTTATTGATGCAAGTCGAATCTTCAGCAGCCATTTTTCTAACTTTGGTAAAATTATGGGCTCGTCCGGGATTTGAAGCCGAGACCTCTCGCACCCAAAGCGAGAATCATACCCCTAGACCAACGAGCCGATTTTGACTAATTAGTTAGGAGAGAAATTAAAAAAAATCAGTTTTATTCAGTTTTGCGACTCAATTGACAAGTTTTAAAACAGTATTTAGCAAATCTTTATACAATTCCATTTCAGGGTAATGATTCAGTAAACGAAATCAAAAACTCATCTTTAAACTTTCG